GTATTAGGTATAGAGACATGATAGACAAGGCGGCGATTGGGGCTAGTTGGCTGACAGTAGGTTTTACAAGAGACATGGTCCATGTAGCAAAGGTATGACAATGACACTTACTCTGAGGCTTTAGCCTCTAATTAATCGCCCAGGTACAAGGGGTGGACGAATTACGCCTCGAATAGCACAAATGAGGGGGGCAAGGGTCGAGTGAAAAACATGTACCAGGGAGATAGCAGACGGATTCGACCGGGCAAGAGGGAGACTTTTATAGGACCCAGGGAAGGACTACGTAACAATATGATAGAGTGTGAAGGGTTTTCATTTCTGTACGCCCCGGGGGCTTATACGCATGTACAAAAAGTTAGACTCAGTTAAGGCAGGCAAAGCAAATATTATCAGTTTAAAAATATCTAAACCTATTTTGATTAGATCCCTGGAAAATCTGTTTATCCAAAGGGCATGAACAGAATAGCAATCAAATCATGAAAAAATGCCTGATACCAAAGTATAAATAATAATGAATGAAATGAGCAATCTGATTTGGAGCAAAGTAAGAACAGTACCCTTGATCTGGATATGTATGTAGTATTAATGACGAGAGTGGAAAGGAAAAGTTGAATTCAGCCCATGATGCACAGGATGTATATCTCATAAAAATAATTGAATGCATACATTCTGCGGCGTGAGGAAAAATATCAGTCAAATGATGGTGTAACTGAAGCAAGAATGGATTATTTTATTGCCCTCACAACGAATAAATACAATGCGAGTAATCTGGGAGTCTTCAATAACTGCCCACTTGCCATACTTACCTACGCCATACAATCTTAGGGGTTATAGGTTTTGGGTTTGGCTAAGTGAAAGAAAAGATCTATAAGCTAGAACGAAGTCAGATTTTTGCACAAGACCATATATGTAAAGCACAAGGTTATCTTATTTTGTTAGGAAATAAAAAGGAAAACTCGATGGACAATGTGTACGAAAATGCACGGAAGTCACTAAGGCCGATAACAAGTGAATTTTCGAACATAAACGTAGGAGCATAGGAAGCAGGTTCTAAAATTGAAAAAAAACTGCCGCTGACCTGTATAGCTTGCAATTGGCTGAGCAACTGAGTCTGGTGATTACTAGTTTGCCCACGCAATGCTTCAACCTCCTGGCGCCAACGTGTCTCACCGGCTCTGGCAGATTCGAGGTGCCGAGTTAAATGACGAACTTCAACCTCAAGGGCGGCCAATTTATCAGTCAATATGGCCTGTTCGTCGCGGGCACGCGCCATTTCAGTCTCACTTGCGGCAGCAGCGGTCGAGTAGCGTGCGTTCATTTCGCGCAGCACGAAGATCTCCTCCTTGTAGCCAGCTACGTTGGCTTCGATAGCACGGAATTTTTCATGTGTAAAATCGAGCTAAAAAAATAAACATGAGGTGTATGCAAGCAGAAATCCAAAACTGACTTTATAATGATATAATTGGACAGATAGTGACATTAAGCTAAAATATAGATGTTATAAACACAGCCAAACAAATATAAGTGTTTGAATTATCGGGCGAACTGAAGTTGAGGAAAAAGATCTACATTCACAAGTTAGGCATTATTTCATCGCGCTGACAGTGCTTACGAGTGCCCATATGGTGTGATGGACATCGATGACTAGAAAGCCCGAGAAGTAGTGCTTTGAATTTAACTTGTTGCAATTGTTCAAAATTTATGTATAAATAAGAGGACGATATTCAAGAGGCTGAAGAATAGAATAAATAATGACGTGTATTATGACACCAGAACAAGACAAATAGAATGAAGGTGATTCCAAAGGCTACATGCGTATTAGTGTACATTCCAACAATATTAGACAATACACAGGCAGACGTAGATACATAGCAACACGGTAAGTTTTAATAAAAAGCTTAGCGTTAGGGCTGGAATACACTGCAAGGTAACAGCTAGGTGGTAAGAAAGAATTGCAGAAACATGAATAGAAAGCATCACATTCAGAAAGGCCGCCGTACTCAAACCTAACATATATTCTTAATAATTTCCAGGTTAATACAACTTAACTACCTAGATGAAAGCTGCCAAGCAATGAGACAAATATATGTTGGTAGAATTTCATTACGTACGAAGGTGCATGAAGTGATTCGAATATCGATCTCACCATAAGACGATGACTGATTTCCATTTTACTGCAGCCGTCTAGCTTTAATACGATGTTCAGGTTGACACAGTCCTCCCTCGTTTCGGAAGAAAACGGGCTAAGATTTCGTTCATCATATGATGGGTATCATTAGAGCTGAAGCTCATTCTTGTTAGTCTCAAACTTACACTGGGTCAAGCAAAAGAAATAAAATTCTCCTAAACACATGTAATTGCTTCATATTATGGCTTAGCTTAAGTTTATCAGTCAGGTATGTCCAATGGAAAAGATCGTATGTTTAAGCATTGGTAAAGGAACCATGATAACAACGGACTTTTAATGAAATAATAAAGTGCTGAGCTAGATGCTACGCCCTTAATGTAGAAAGGTTTGGGGAATTCATTGCAAATGTCATCCGATCTCTCATTCACGCTTAATTTTATGCAGTTCTGAGTAGGATCGTAGTAATGTTGATTCAATTAGACACCTATCTGATAATAGTAATATCATAGAAATATAATAAGGATATGCTCTCTGAATAAAATGCGATAAATAAACAAGAGATTCCATAAATATATTTTCACTATTGGATATCTTGATTTTTTGAGACGATCCACTGTTGTCACAGGAAAATGGAA